CCAGACTGATGATAATTACCATGTCCATTGTGCTTGCACTGTTCCCACTTGCATCGCGCCCCACAGCAAGCCGATGATGTAGATAATAGCCTTATTATCCCCATTTTGCAGATGAAGCAACTGAAGCTCAAAGAGGTTCAGCCACTTGGCCAAGGTTGCCTGACCTGTAAGGGCAGAGTCAGGCCCTGAGCTCAGACCTTCACCCGCCAAGGCCCGGCCCATTCCACAGAACCAGGGGCCCCTGGCGCTTAACCAGAGGCCTCACCCAGTGCAGTCTGCATTTCAACAGGGAGGAGGCCTTCTCCCAGAGTGAGGCGCTGATGATGGAATGTCAGGCACAGGCCAGGCTGGTGACGTGCCAGGGGGCCTGGAGTATTTGAGAGGACCAAGTGTCTTCCCCACAAGTCCTGTAGTACGTGACGTATGAGGTCTTCTGACCCTACCTGGAAAGCGCCAGTCTTGAGTCACCCTCTTCCTCATTCTAAGCCCTGGTATAAAGGGCAAACGCATGTGTCTTCTGAAAGGCCTTGCTGGGCTCTGCCTACCGGGGCACGGGGTGGGGGCAGGGGGGAGTCCCACTTGGATTCCTTCTTTTGGCTCTAGCTCAAACCCTAACTGAAAACAGGAAGGGGCTTTGGGGATCCTCTGCTTGCCCTTTAAATTTCATTGTTCCCTGTGGAATGGGAGGCTCAAGCCCAGGAAGCAGGAAACAGGGAGGGGGGAGGGGGTCTCCCTCAAAGCTGTAACCCAGGGTTGGCTTCCTCAGTCTCCGCACTGTCGCCTTGTTCACTGGTCTCCGTGTGGGGCTGTCTGTGCACCGTGGTGCGTTTAGCAGCATCCCAGGCTGCCGCCCATAGGTGCCAGCAGCACCCCCCAGCTCTGACAGCCAACCGTGTCTCCAGGATTGCCAAGTGGCCCCTGAAGGAAAAATCCGTGCCAGTTGTGAACCACTTTTCTAAAGTCGCACACACACCCGCACACGCCCGCACACACCCACACTCACACACGAGCACTTGACAGGGACTTGACTGGGGAGGAGATGGTTAAATGAAACCAGATGTCAGCCCAGAAAGTATGCAGTCCAGCCTCACCCTCCTTCCAAAGCTGCCTGTGCTGGGCCCTGGGAGGGGATGGGGTGTCCTCCGCCCTCTGCGGCTGGCTAGTCACCGGGGGCCTCCTTGTTCAGCCTCTGGAGGGGGCAGGGCCAGCCTGAGGTTCCTGGGGCTTCCCTCTCCTCCTCCTCATTTTTCTCGCCCGGTGTCTTCTCTTCCTCCTTCTTTCTTCTTTCTGTTTGTCTTCTTCTTACTCATTGTGGAGACTGTCTCAGTTTCTGTGAGGGCCGAGTTCCTGAATGTGCGTGGGGCCCCGGGTCCCCCCGCCAGGGTCCTGAGTGTTTGCAGCAGCAGGAGCAGCTGGGACCCAGCTGACTGGCAGGCCCAGGGCAGTGAGCCCAAGCCCAAGCCCAGGCTGGAGCTGGGGCAGGGAGGGAGGAGAGTGTTCACTTCCTGGTTCCTATGCTAACTGGTCATGAATCTAGGGATTTCTGCAAGGTTCTCAGGTACCACCTCACGACCTGTGGGACTCAGCAGCCCTGGGCCCCAGTGTCTGCATTGAACACAGGGCAGGATATCTCAAATGGCTCTTAGGAGCTTTTGCAGAACTGAGGGGGTAGTGCCTGGCCCTCGATAGATGCTCAACTTTGTTAGTAAAGAGCGTTGCCCTTCCTTCTGTGGGGTCTCTGGTAAGACCCCCAACCGTTCTGAAAGCAGCTGCCTCTGTTACTCCTGATACCAGCCTCCCAAGCCCCAGGCGCAGGGTTCAAGGGCCAAGACTGAAGGGTGGGCTGGGGATCAGGAGCAGGCGAGGGCTGGGGCTCCTACAGCTTCCCCGGTCTCCATAGCCACAGGCTGAGCTCTTCTGCAATGTCTGGAGGGCAAGAACCCCACACCCTCAAAGTCAGCTTAACAAGGAGAAACCGAAGCCACTTTTGTGGCCCGGCTGCCGGCCTTGACACTGGGGATAAAATCCTGGTGGACTCTGTAGCAGTGACTCTCACTGCCCTCAGAGGCCATTAACAAGGACGAGGGACATTTTTCATCTGGCACTGCTGGGAGGTGGGTAGAACGAGTGAAGACCAGGGATGCTGCTAACCATCCTGCAAGGCTCGGGACAGCCCCCACCACAAAGAATCACCCGGCCCAGCGCTGGTGGTGTGGCTCAGTTGGTTGGAGCGTTGTCCCATAACCCAAGGGCTGTGGGTTTGATTCCCCCGTCTGGGTGCGAATAGGAAGCAACCAATCGATGTTTTTCTCTTTCATTGATGTTCTCTTTCTCCCTTCCCTCTAAAAGTAATGGGAAAAAAATGTCCTCAGGTAAGGATAAAAAAATAAAAGGATAAAAAGTAAAAAAAATTATCCAGCCCCAATGTCAGCGGTGCTGAGGGTGCAAAGCCTTGCTCTACAGGCTTCCTGCGTGCGCCTGTTCCTATGTGTGATGTCCGTGCTGCTCGCACTCCCAGAGCCCGGCACCCAAGAGGGATAGTTTTGAATGAATGAATGGAGCAGCTGTTGTCATAGCCTCATCTCCTCGAAAAGATGGTAATTCATAGTATAAACCTTGCTCTTCTCAGTGCATCGTCCTGTCTCTGCAGGGCCCGAGAACCAAAATCCAGCATTCAGAACCCCAGTGTTCTAGCCAAATTGGCAATCCAGCTGCCTGGCCCGCCGGCGAGCCTGGGGGTTGTGGGTCGTGAAGGGCGGCCTCAGCAGCTCACCTGCCACCCAGCACACCTGGCAGCAGGCCAGCGAGTGGATGGGACGAGGGCAGAAATGACTTGGCGTGCCCTGCCCCCACAGCGCAGTGGGCAGGGGGTGCATCATGGGGTGTAGGGTGTGGGCCTTGGGGTCAGCCAGGCCTGGGTTCCAGTGCCAGCCGGCTTTTTACCAGCCACGGGACCCTGAACACGTAACTAACCTCCCTCCTTCATTTTCTCCACTATAAATGGGATTGCTAATAGCACCTTCCTGCAAGGGTTAATTGGGGGTTAGAAGAGATAATCCACTTACTTTGGTGCTGCACTTGGAACCTTTGGTGTCCACAACCGTCACCATAGCCCATTTCCGGTGCTTGCCCCTCTGCTTGTAACCCCGAACCCCAGGGCCGAGCCTGGAAGGGTCTGGAAGGCTGCTGAGCACCGTCCCTGCCCCTCTCCAACTTGGCCGTGTGCCAGCACTGGGCTAAGCTCCAGGGACCCAGCGGTGCCCAGGACGTGGTCCTGACCACCCGGAGTGGTTTGCAGGCTTGTGGGGACACTGGCAGGAGCCCGGGGGGCCCCAATTTGGGAACAGAGGAACGCAAGCCCAGCACCCAGGGCCAGATGGAAGGAAGCATCACTGCGCCCTTGCAGGACTCTGACAGTGAGCACCTCCTTAAAAATGATGCGTTTGCCTTACCCTCGTCTCAGCCCGGCAAAGGTCACCTCCCAGGAGGAGTGAGTGCCTGAAGCACAGAGGAGGGCGAGTGGGGAGAGGGGCCCCAGCACCAGAGGCTTGGAAGGATAAGAATTCGGAAAGCAAAGCTGAGGCGTGTACAATGTACTGAGTAGGAATATATAGGAGTAAAGTCTGCCTTGAGGAAAGCCCTGGGCATGTTTGAATTGTGTGAACAGTTTGGAAGGGAAGCACGAAGGCGCGTACATTGTGAGGGAGCGCCAGGGGTTTCTTTTGTAAAATGGCGGGGTCTTGGCATGCAGTAATTCTGCGACTAGTGTTCCCTCCCAGTCCCCTGGGGGCCGCGTCCCATCCCCACAGACAGGAAATGGGCCCCCTGACGGCTGTGGCCTGGGAAGCAGGCTGGGAGACGCCTGACTCGTAAGTGCGCTGGCGTGGCTCCGAAGGCCCCCAGAGAGGTGGCCCCCAGCGGCTGGGGGAGAGTGGGGGCTTCAAAAGTCAGAGGACAGTCAAAGAAGGTGACAACAGAGTAAGGAAGCATGTCAGGACGACGTGACAAATGTGGCGATGGGGTCTCCCGGCGGGCCCGCCTCCACATCTGACTACCGGACCAGGCTGCGGTGGCCACAGAGAGAGGCATTGTCGCAGCAGGCGCTTAACAATGAGAGGCATTCTAAAATAGAACGAGCGGCTGGTTAAGCGGGGAGCACCCCTCATCAGAGCTCAGTTCGCCGGAACCGATGTTCACTGTGTGCTCATAAATACCTCAGTCTTGAGTGAACGTAGGAATGGGGTTTTGGAGGCTGTTATGTCAAGGATAAGGGTGAGAGGGAAAGACGGCACCTCCCTGGTGACAGGGAGGGCGGGCGTGTAGGCTGGGGAGGCTGCCTGAGCAGAGGCCTGGGAGGACAAGTGGCCAGGGGTGACAGGAGGTGACCCAGCAGATGGTAAGGCCGGGAGGGAGCGCGTGGGGAGCCCCATCCTGAACGTCTTGCCTTCCAGGCTGGGGGCCGTGGGCTCCCCGCTCTAGGTAGCAGAGACCGACCGAGAGAGACTTTGAGGAGGACGGCCCCACGATGTGGCTGTTAATGAAGAAAGATGAGAGTGGGAGTGTGAAGCATGGGCTGGAAAGAGAGGCAATTAGGAGGCAGGAAGATGGGTAGAAAGCTGGGGTGACCCTGCAGAAGAGAAGAGGGGTGCTTGGCTGGAGCGGCAGCAGAGGGCAGGGAGTAGGGGCCAGAGGAGATGTGGGGGGCTCTGACAGAGGCCGGGACGTGGGAGGAACGGCAGGGGTGTTTGAGGACAACCTCGGGCTCCCAGCTCTGACTGCGCCGAGGCCTCTCAGAAGCAGGTGGAGTTGGCACTGCCGGGCCGGTCGGCGAGCCTCGAAGCTTCTGCCCGGAGGCGTCTGGCTCCACAGCCAGCAGAGCTGTGCTTCTGAGTGGCTCTGCGGGTTCTGATCAGCGGCCCTTGCCCACCCCTGCTCCTGGCCACAGCTGGTGAAGTACCAGTGTCCACTGCCCCAGCTCTCCCCTTCTTTCTTCCTCCCAGGATGCACAGAAACCCTCAGCACCCAGCTATGGGCCAAAGACACCATCAGGCCAAAAGATGAAGGCTCCCCTGTCTCGGTCATGGAAGCAGGACCGTGAGCAGACTCTGGCGGCAACTTATGTGCCGGTGGTGGTGGGCCAGAATTCGGACAAGCTCAGGTTCAAATTCTACAGCTCCCAGTACTCCAACTCCCTGAGCCCCTTCTATACCTTGCAGAAGCCCTTCTGTGGCTACCCGTACCACCGGGACACCGACCACAGCCGCAAGCGCTTCGACGTGCCTCCTGCTAACGTGGCTTTGTGGCGTTCCTAGTCCTGTGCCCACCAGAAGCCCCCGCCTGCTCCCCTGACCCCCAGGGTCCCTGGGCCTCAGGCAGTGGACCTCGCCTGGGCTAGGGCAGCTGGGACATGCCCACTCTCAACGCTGGCTAAGGGAGTTCTCTCTCCTCAACAGCAATTAAAGTTTGTTCTTCCTTTCCCTGGCATCTGAACAGGTGACTGTGAATGGGTAAACTGAAGCCATAGGGGTGTTTTACAGCAAGATCACGTTCAGAAGGGTCTGAAAACTTGGAAGGACTTGACTCTGAGTCCCCTCACCCCAAGAGAAACCCCTACTCCCCTTCAGAGCCTCTGCTGGTCATACCGTCCCCATGGTCCAGGCTGGGCAGACCCGCCAGAGACCAGAAAGGGATACATCAGCTGACCACACCCCCGGCTCTGTATGAGGCCCTCTCGACCAACGCTGGAGCGGCCCCTGGAGCCTGGGGAAGTGATGTAGGGCGTGAGCCCCACTGCAAGGGGCTTCCTCTCCAGGCCGGGTTTTATATAAAACAGCCGCATGTGACTTGCTGTTTACTGAAGGGGGATGGGATGGATTTCCCATCTCAAGTGTTTCCTCTGGTCCGGAAGAACTGCCTCCGAGGTTACTTAGGCTCATGGGCCGTGGTTCTTCGAAAAAGGGGGTGAAGGCAGAGAGTACTTGACCCATAGTATCGGCCTGAGTGAGTCCCTGGTCACTGCCAATCAAGGAACCGTGGGATCTGGACCAGCTCTGACCGGCCCCTGAGCACCAACGGTGGGCCGCTCCTCCCATTCCACAGTCTGCGGCTTCACGTTGGTAGCTTGAAATTGGCTGTGGGAGTGATTACACCATGGAAGTCAGCAAACACCTACAAACCGTTTCCTTCTCCAGAGAGTCAGTGAAGTACCCACCAGCACTGAGAGGGTCTAACTGCTTTCATTTCTTGGGGTCGAGGCCCATCCCAGGTCTGCCGTGGAGTGTGCTTCCACGGCACGTGAGGTTGGGGCTGACGCAGACAGCAGGGCAGGGGGTCTGGGGGCTCCGCAGGGAGTTTCTGCAGTGGCCAGGCCTCCCTGGAGCCTTGTCCGAGAAGACGCTGGTGAGGAAGACCGTGGCCCACCTGAGGGTTGCCTGACCAGCCTGGAATCCGGGGGGTGGGTTGTTATGGGCTCTCTCTCAAGTTAGAGGTTTTCCTCAGATGTCTGGGGATTCGGGCTGGAACAGGCCAGCTGGCATCTGTACCTGGGCGCTCCTGTCTGGAGGTGGGTATTTGAGGAGCTAGCACAGGAAGGAGCTGGAGTGAAGGGTGTCTCACTCATCCCTTAACACCCCAAATTTCAGAGCAACCCTCCTGCCTTCCTGAGTTGTGCCCAGAGGCCAGGGTTTCCCGGGTTCTAATCTCCAGAATAACCTCTGGCTGGGGTCAGAGGGCACAGACACCCCAAGGTGCCTGTCCTGCTGCCTGGCAGAGGGCATCTGGGGAGGCGATTGCTTCCACCACAGACTTTCCACCAGTCCTTTCAGGGCGCCCTCTGCCCCTGAAACCGGACGGCAACCACGTTTGGGGCCCGTGCTGCCTGTCGTCACGTCACCCTCAGCCAAAAAGCAGAGACGAACTGGGTTATGATTGCTCCCTCATTAACAGTAGAGGCCAGCAGTCTGAGAAGGTGGAGGGTAAAAACCCTCACATCCACCTTCCCTCGAGCTTTGGGAAGCAAGTTTACATAGGGGAAACGTGGGGATTCGGGAGCAGGGATTCCTGGGGGGGCACAGGCCTGCTGTTCCTCTTGGCAGTAAGGGGAGGAGGGGCTGGAAGTGGAGGGGAGTCGAGCAGCCTCTTCCCCAGCTGGCACCCTTTGCCCCGGCGACGTCTGTCCGTTTGCATTAGCGTTCCTCTCTTCCCTTGGACACCTGCGGTTTATGGCCGGGGAAGCTAAATATTTTTGGGTTAGGGAAGAGAGGTATGAACTATTGTCTCTCAAGTGTCCTTGGTTTGGGGAGATAAGGCCTTGCAATTCACCAGCTGGCTGTATGTTGCTCAAACTGTTTGGCCTTGTTTAATTGTCTTGCCTCAGTTTCCCCATTTCACTCGCTCAGGAATTTTCCTAGCTTCTTACGCTCCTGCCTCAACCCCCACCTCCTGAGCCTCCTGAGCCGGGAGCAGGCTTTGTGACTGTGCCAACCTCCGCATCTTCCTGCTCCTTGAAAGCATTTAAGTCTCAACTTTCCACACTTGGATCAGTTACCGCTCGTCCATCTGCCTCCTGTTCTCTATAATTTTATTACAGCCTCTAATTTGCTATGTTCCTTCTCTTCGCTTCTGCGGATGTGTGGTTTTAAAAATGCATTCATTGCCGTTGTCGTGGGATTTGGAAAAGGAACAGAGACAAATACAAGTTTTCCGTCTATATGTAGTCAAAAGCCTTCATTTTCCACCCAGTCAACCATCCACAGACACCTGCTGAATGCCAGGTGCCGGCTGGGTCCTCGGCTGCAGAGACGAACAAGAACCGTCTTGCTGCCCACCCCTGACAGCCCTGGGGCAGTGTGAGGAGAGGCCAGCGTCTCTCTACTCCCGGAACCGGCACCGCCTCCTGTCTGCTGAAGAAGAGTCTCCCCCTTGAGGTTCACCTTGGTAGAGCAGCCTCCATAGAAGGTTCAGGAACCTTTTATTTTTTTAAGTTTTTTTTTCAATTATGCTATTACAGTTTTCCCAATTTTCCCCCCTTTATCTCCCCTCCACCCTGACCCTCCAACCTTCCTACATCCCCCGCCCATAGTTCATGTCCATGGGTTGTACATATAGGTTCTTTGAATCCTTTTCCTATACCATTTTTGACCTCTCCCCATCTATTCAATGCCTACTAACCATGCTTCTTCTTCCCTGTACCTTCCCCCATTTCTCGTTCCCCCTCCCCACTGAACTCTTTCCGTGTGATCTCCATTTCTCTGATTCTCTTCCTGTCCTAGTTGTTTGCTTAGTTTTTGTTTTCATTTTTCTTTTAGGTTCATTTGTTGATAGTTACAAGTTTGTAGTCATTTTACTGTTCATAGTTTTGATCTTCTTTTTCTTAGGTAAGTCCCTTTAACATTTCATATAATAAGGGCTGGGCGATGATGAACTCCTTTAATTTGACCTTATCAGGAAGTACTTTATCTGCCCTTCCATTCTAAATGAAAGCTTTGCTGGATAGAGTAATTTTGGATGTAGGTCCTTGCCTTTCATGACTTCAAACACCTCTTTCCAGCCCCTTCTTGCCTGTAAGGTCTCTTTTGAGAAATCTGCTGACAGTCTGGTGGGAACGCCTTTGTAGATAACTGTCTCCTTATCTCTTGCTGCTTTTAGGATTTTCTCTTAGTCTTTGATCTCAGGTAACTTAATGATAATATGCCTTGGTGTGTTCTGTTTTGGGTCCAACTTTCTTTGGGACTCTCTGGGCTTCCTGGACTTCCTGGAAATCTATTTCCTTCGCCAGACTGGGGAAGGAACCAGCTTTTAAATAAGCTGGTTCAGGTCCCACGTGGGTCTGGGCGGGATGATCCCAGGAGGCAGAAGGACTAGTGCTCAGGGTTCTGCTGTGTTTCGGGGGCAGGGAGGCGGGGGGCCAGTGGGCAGCCTTGAAGGGGGATGCCCAGCCTGGGTTTGAGGCCCCTCCAGTCTCTTCCCAGCCTGGCTTCCCACCTCTGGCACCTGCCTCACCTGTCCCTTTATTGGCTGCTTGGTGTAGCATCCATGTCTTTGGGGAGAAACTGGAGAGTGGGACTGAGGGGAGCCACTGAGGAGGGAGAAGCAGAGCTCTAGGATTGAGAGGCTGTGGAATTCTATGCCCACCACGGTCTGTAGACGTGGAGCGGGGCCCTGAGCCCGGAGGTGGCCAGCTCTCTGCTGATGGAATCATGCATCAGGCGGGCCACACAGGAAGGCGCTGGAGTGACGGGCTATCGGGGTCTCCGGTCCCACCAGGCCTTCCTCAGAGATTTAAAGATGGGCTAAATGTGTGCTGATGAGGTGGAAAGACTCTTTGTACCACCACTTACATTTTTTTCTTTTCCTCTTTCTACTGAGTTTATTGGGGGTGACAAAAATATACGTTTCGGGTGCACAATTCCATAACACAGCATCTGTACACTGTGTTGTGTGTTCACCACCCCAAGTCAGTTCTCTGCCCATCACCATTTATAAAATGTTTTTCAGTCTCAGAATGTGATTTGTCTGGCCCTGGCCAGGTGGCTCAGTTGGTTGGAGTAGCAGCCCATGCACCGAGTGTTAATGGTTTAATCCCTGGTCCAGGTGCATGCAGAAGGCAACCGATGCATGTTTCTCTTATATTTCTCTCTCTCCCTCTCTCCCCCTCTTCCTCTCTAAAATCAATAAACAGATCCTCAGGTGAAGATTGAAAAAAGAAGACTGTTCTTTGTCGGCCCCACTGATGGTGCCTTGACTGCAGTAGACGGTCCGTGAGAGTTGCACCCTGTTGGAGCTTGAATCACGCACCTGCACACTCACTTCAGGTCTCATTCAGTTCCAGCTGGTTGGCCACTCTCAGAAAGGTCCTGGAGGGGAGGTTAATGAGGGGACTGTCTACAGAGAAGTGGGAGGTTTAGGGGACTGGCACTGTGCCCAGTGAGAGTGACAACTATTCTTCTTACTCCTAAGCCCAGGCCAGGGTAGGGGGTCGGGAAGGAGGCTTTGTTCCCGGAGCCTCCAGGGAGCTCTGGCAGGAGCTGTGGCCGAAGGTAGGAGAAAAGGCCAGTGTTTCCTTTCTCCGCCCCCCAGTGTCTTTCCAGCGTTGCTCAGTGGATGAGCCCAGCCTGAAGCCAGAGAGCAGGGGAGCGCGGTGACTGGTCCGTGGGGGTCAGTCTCCTGGGCTCAGAGCAGGCAGAGAAAGGTGGAGAATGACTGGGGAGGGGCAAACAGAATAACCTGCCCAGGACTGCGTGGAACCCACGGTGCCAGGTGCTGGAGATGCAGGAGGCGGGCGAGCGAGACCATGGTCTCTTCCCTCTGGGACCTGCTGGGTCCCTGAGGCCAGGCTGGCAGCAGCAGCTGCTTATAGTTCCGGAAAGAAAGGAATGTTGTGTCTGTTATGGTAAAGTAGGGATGTTGTCATAGACCCTAGGGTGACACCCCCCAACTGATCCCTACCTCCTGTCATCCCTGCCTTTTTACAATCCACTCCCTCTGAGTGTGAGCGAGACCTGTGACTAGCTTCTAACCCGCAGAACAGGCAAAGGTGGCGGGGTGTCTCTCCCTAGATTAGGTCACGTCATGTAAGACTCCATTGTAGCAGATTGGTGAGACAGTCTCCTCTCTGGCTCAATGAGATAGCCTTGTTAAAGGGGTCCATGTAACAAGTATTGTAGGAAGCTTCTAGAAACTTCAGGCAGCCTCTAGAAACTGAGAGTGGCCTTCAGACAACATCTAGCAGAAAAACCAGGGCCCTCAGTCAGAGCTGCAGGAAATGAATTCTTCCGATAACCCAAATGAGGTGGAAGTGGGCTCCCCCCCAGTCCAGCCTCCAGATGAAAACACAACCCAGTTGGCTCTGGAACGCAGTCTTGTGAGACCCTGGGCAGAGGGCCGGCTAAGCTGCGGCCTGGCCCACAGGAACTGAGATGATAAACGTGTAGCGTTTTAAGCTGCTGACTTTGTGGCAACTTGTTATGCAGCTTAGTAAACTAACGCACCACAGAAGCCAAGTGTGCTGGGGCAGGACAGGCGAGTGCTGCAGCTTCGGACGGCCTCACAGAGGAAGTGGTGTTTGAACCTGAACGTGAAGAGTGAGGAGGATGCAAACAGGACATGGGAAGGTGAGAGGATGCACTCCTTCGTTTCCAAACCCTGGGCCTGAGGACTCTGTAAAGACGCAGACGGGAACCTGGGCCCCACGCACATTTGCTGGAGGAGCCCTCCCCGCCCCCCCCCCCGGAAACAGTTCCCGGGGAGCTTGACCAATGCCGGCTGATCCCAGCCCCCCAAGGGGCCCTAAAATGACCCCTTTAGGTAAAGGAGAGCTAGCACAGACCTGTTTGATTTCTTTTTTCAAAAACAACTATTCTCTGATGAAGTGAGCAACATATGTTTGTGTGAACCATTTTAAAAACACAGAAGATTTTTAAAAAGTAATAATTTTAAAAAACCAACAATGATCCCATGACCTAGAAATGAGCACTGCTGGTGTTTTTTTGGTCACTTCTTTCTAGTCATAAATACCCAAGTGACAGGGGCAATGGTGTTAATGTCACCTCGTCTCAGTCTTTCGGATCTTCTGGGGAGTGCTCTGAGCACTGGGCTCTTTGAACTAATTTGCTCGGGATGATGGACAAGAAGAGTTGTAGAATCAGAAAGGAGACCAGGCAGCGGTCTTTATGACGGAAAGGAAGAAATTGGCCCCCGGGGGCGCGCAGATCTGAGAAGCAGACCCGGCCCAGAGCACCTGTCCCACGCCGCACTGCCACCCTCCTCCGGTTCACAGGGACCCCTTGAGCTCATCTCAACTGAAGCATCTTGGTCAGGAAAAGAGAAGAACGATCCCTCTCTAGGTGTCCAGGGCCTTTCCTCTGGTGGGTCACACGTGTCCTGAGCTGTTGAGGGGGTCGCCACCCAAGGAAGGGCTGCAGGCTGAGCAGTGCGAGGGGCACAGACCCTCGCACTCTGGACTCCGTTCTTCGCCCAGGCAGCGGGCACAGCCTGGGGATGCAGGTTGTTCCTGGTGGTCGGGAGGTGGTGACCGTCCTTCCTTGCAGAGCTGGGCCATGTCCCGGAGCTGACCTCCCGGATGCTGGTCCTCCCCTCTGTCCGGTTCTCATGGATCCTCGTAGGAGCAACAGCCTGGCATTCTTCACACAAAATTTTGTGATAACCATCATTTTCCTGATGCTTCCATCCTCAAACTGCCTCTGAGGGTCCTATTTTATTTTTGTTTAAATAAAGAAGGGATTCTTTTTCAAACATAATCAGAACTATGGGGAGAGACATTGGTCATTGCCATGGATTCAGCAATTCAAGGTGATGGCTGACATTTCTGGTTTCTTGACCTTTCCCTCCCTTGTAACCTCATGATCCCAAGATAGCTGCTACATTCTGGACATCACATTCACATTCAAAGCCAAAAGCAGGAGAAGGGCAGTGCCAGCTTCATCTTGTATCACTTTTTATCAGGAAAGCAAGGTTTCCCCTGGAAAACGCAGCAGACCTTCACTTAACATTTCTTTGGCCAGAACCATGTCATGTGGCCACTCTTAGCTGCAAGGAGGCTAAGAGAACAATTCTCTTTTACAGCTTTTTTTAGGGGGGTGGGGAGAGGCAGGCAGAGGGGCGAAGAGTTGGGAATGGGGTTGGATATAGTAAGTTTTAAATTTTTTAAAGACTTTATCTATTTAGTTTTAGAGGGGAAGGGAGGGAGAAAGAGAGGGAGAGAAACATCAATGTGTGTTTGCCTCTCGTGTGCCCCCTACGGGAGACTGAGCCTGCAACCCAGGCATGGGCCCTGACTGGGAATTGAACTGATGACCCTTTGGTTCGCAGGCCAGAACTCAATCCACTGAGCCACACCAGCCAGGGCTAAATGCTCTCCATATACTAATTTTAATGCACTTAATCCTCTTAACAGCCCCTCGAGGTGGGTGCCGTCACCTCCATGTCAGGAATGACGCCGAGGCCCCGAGGAGCTAAAGCAAGGAGGGTGCGCAGGGAAGTAACTTGTGATGCTTAAAGCGCCGAGATTTGAGAGTGTTTTTTTACTACGGCATACTCGGCCAATTCTGAATATACATGTACGTACTCCGACATCTAATATATGTTATATATTTACCTACATACACATATATAGGAAAGTCTTCCTTAGTCTTCACTCTGAAGACACATTGCTTTGCAGCCTGGAGAAAAAGTCCTTCCCTGGTGCTGGCTGGGTAGCTCAGGCGGCGAGAGCGTCGTCCCGATACGTCAAGGTCGAGGGCTTGATCCCCAGTCAGGGCACCCGTGGGAATCAGCCAACAAATGCATAAATAAATGGAACAACAAACTGATGTTTTTCTCTCCCTCTCTCCTTTCCTCTCTTTCTCAAATATCAATACAAATATTTTTTTAAGAAAAGAATCCTTTCCTTGCAGCCTTGCAGTGTGGGAGGGCCCGGGCACGCAGCTGGGGTTCCTGAGAGGGGCCCGGCGGCTTGGTGGTGCTGGAAAACTCACAGCACTTTGTGCAGTATTTAAACTGCGGCCTTTGTATCAGACAGGGTAGGTTAGCTGCGATAATAAACCGCCCCCCAAAGATACCCCTTCTCAAGTATAAAAGACAGTTTTGTGCTAGCGCAACCTGAATGAGTACCCAAGAGCCTGCTGGGAAAGCAGAAACATGGGTGGTGGTTTCCTCCGGCCGAGGTAGGCGACAGGCATGGTCCACCTGTAAAGGAGGGAGGGAAATCAATCAGGGAGGGGGCAGGGTGGAGGGGGTGCCGGCTCCGTACTTTCCCAGGAGCATCCGGCTTAAGCCCATCTGGGTGTTGGCTCCATAAATGAACCACCGGTAAAGTCTATGGTCAGAGAACGTCCCACAAGGGGCCGGAGAAAGCTTTTGCTGCAGAGATGGGCCCCTAGGCGTGTTCTGGGAGCTTTCTGAGCCAGCAGGTAGCAGCTCACCCATGCACATGTGTGCCAGCCCTCTCCCTCACACGTGCACACACACACACTCACACTCACAGCCACTAGGCAAACACTCATAGGCACACGCTCAATGTTCGCTATTCCCATGCCTCTGGAAGGCGATGGTGTCAGGTTCAGGGTCAGATGGAGGGCTGAATTCAAAGCCTCCTAGGACGGGAAAGGTGCAACCTCCGGAATCTGAGAGTGTGGTCAGAACAGGACCAGTGGGTGGGTGTATGCATGGCTAGATGAGCTTGTGCAGGCTATTGCAGGAGGGGCTCCCACCGGCTGCTTAGGACTCTTTGGAAGCCCACACACTGCGTCACTCAAATGCTCTCTTACGTTAGCTATGCGTGGTCGATTGGAGCCCCTCAGCGGCGGTGGCCAAGTGCAGTGCATGGCCTGACAGCCGTACGCAGCGGGCCTGGCGAGAGCCCACGGCTGGCCCAGCTCTGGTTCAGATGCACCTCCCTTCTGTGTCTGAGGGAGGAGCCCCCTCAAAACAGGACAAGAAGGGAGTGGCACTCACAGGATCAGGACAGCTGCTGGCTGGCCACCCACTCTGTCTTGGTGAGAAGGGATAAGGAGACAGCAAACTGGGTAAGACAATCCTCTCACCATCAGCTCAAGGCTGTAATCCTCGGCCTCTGGTCCTCTAAGCCTTGTTCTATTTTCACTCCTCTTCTCCAGGCAGCAGTTCCCATTGGCTGTAAGGATCTCCCGGGGACTTGTGCACTGCTTCTCTGGCAGCCCCTGGATTTGGGTGTAGGCTCGCTCGACCCCACACCTTGTTCCTCCTGCTCACCTCCTCCCGACATTTCCCTGCACTTGCTTGCTCAGGTCCTTCCTTGCTCAGATCTGGAGAACTCAGGCCTGTGAGCCAGGAGGGCCCAGTTCCAAAAAGCCAAGCCACTGTCGTGCAGGGAGCAGAGGGTCACAGGACTTGTCCATCTTGGGCGTCAGCCCCCCACAGGCCTGGACAATGGGCAACGTGATGGAAGGCAAGTCGGTGGAAGAGCTGAGCAGCACTGAGTGCCACCAGTGGTACAAGAAGTTCATGACCGAGTGCCCCTCCGGCCAGCTCACCCTCTACGAGTTCCGTCAGATCTTTGGCCTCAAGAACCTGAGCCCATCGACCAGCCAGTATGTGGAGCAGATGTTCGAGACCTTTGACTTCAACAAAGTGAGCAGGGGCCTGGGTGTGGGGCATTGGAGGGACGCCCGGGGGATCCCAGCCAGCAGAGCGGGGGAGCCAACGGGGTCCGTTGGAGGAGTGGCTTCATTTGTACAGTTCACAGTTTACCTGGAAGGTGGAACGTGCATGTTAGGGATTCAGCCGCTCTCACATTCACTGAGCACCTACTGTGAGTCAGGCACTGAGGTTGAAATGACTCAAACACCCCTGCCCTGACTCTGAGGGGGGACGGAGAGGTGTGCAGTTAGTGTGCTCACAGGCTGGACCGAATGGCTCCCCTGCCTCTCCCGCACATGCATTCTGAGTAATTCAAACAAGTGTGCACACTTACAAGACAGCACTGGGCACCTACTAAGTGGTTGCTGCTGTGTGTGGTGCTTTTAGCACAGGCCCTGGATGCTCACAGGGGTGCAAAAGGAGGGGCAGAGAGCAGAGAGCAGGGTGAGGAGGCTCCGGCCCTGGCTGGTCTGGGATGGGCAGGCCCACGTCACTTGGGTCACCAGGGATGCTCTCTGGACACTAGACCTGGGGACAGGCAGGGTTGCCTGGCCTCTGGGGAATCCAGGCTACTTCAGCTCTAAAATACCTGATGACCTCAGTTCACCTTTCTTCAGGTAGGTCAAAGGTCTTCGCAGGGGTCAAAGTGTGTGTCCCCAAGTAATTACCTAGGCACACTGGGTGAAGACTTCCAGATAAGCTAGAGGGAACACTGGAAAAGGAGCTGGACACTCTGAGTTTGGGCCCCTGATTTTCGTCAGCTGGGTGACCTTGACCTTGTGCTTTCCCCATCAGCTTCAGCTTATTCACCTGTACCTGTTGGGAACATTAGTTAGGGCGTTTGGTGGTTTTCAGTAGCAAGTTCTCTGTCTGGAGCAGTTCAGTCAAGACGCCGTGGTGGGAGAGCCCAGGCCCACACACCCGTCTCCCTGCCCTGGCTGGTCCCCACCCGGCTGGTGCTCATGGGGAAGGCAGACTTGTCGATACACCGCCACGTGCCCACCGCAGCCAGGAGGGGCTGCCCAGAGAGCCAATCACCACTGTGGGCAGGGCTTCTGGGGAGAGCTGGGGCTCAGAGGCTATTTAAATCTTGCTAATTTTGGAGTTAAGGAGCCAAAGCAGATTATGGGCTTTGAGTCCCAGCCTCAAGGGCAGCATCGTTGTGCCCGAGGGCTTTCCTGAAGGGGGCGCAAGGAAGCAGACCACCGGAGCCCAGGGCTTGGAGACCTGGAGGGATGGCGTCAGGATGCCAGACCTCCCAGTTCTCCAGAAGCAGCAATACTTCCCGAACAGGAGGCACCAAAATAGCTCAGCTTCTCACCTACTAAGGTAACCCTTTGGGTCAAGACATGTTTCCAAAGGACCCTCTAAAATCACATGCATAACACTGGGAGGGGCAACCCACCCAACCATGTGTTTACCTAATTGGAGTCATTCATATGCCATCTCTTCAATTTTTGTCACATGCAAGCACCACCTACCTGTACTGTCCCAAACCTGTCTTCCTCGATTATGCCACACACACCCCTGCTTTAAGGGCTTTGGTGCTGCCTGGGACCCTGTTCCCCCAGAATTCTCTTTGGCTCACACCTTCCCTAGCTACGAGTCTCTGCTCAGATGTCTCCTTCCCACCGACAGCTGCCCTGACCTCCGGGTTTAAACCCTATTTAACTGGGACTAGCCCTCACCCCTGCATTTCCTAGTTCCGCCCCCCACGGCTTCCCAGATCCAGTCTTATCGTCTAACGCACGCACGCATGACTGTTTACGGCTCTCTTTCCTGCTGCAGGGAGAGCTCCGTGGGGACGGGCCTCTTTTCTGTCCTGTGCACTGCCGTGTCCTCAGCACCCAAAGCAGTGCCTGCAACGCAATAGGTGCTTAATAGGAATTTGTTATATGAGTGAATCAACAGATGAGAAATCATGAGTTCATGGGCTAGTTTTGCATTTCATAACAACATTAATTTAAACACATATTCGTTTAAATGAAGAGCCTCTTTGTAACGTCGAACGTGCCTCCTGCACACCAGCAGCTCAGTCACCCCTGGGCACCAGTGCCTCCCTCCGTCGCCAGGAGCACCGAGCAGCTCAGCAGACGGGCTAGGAAATTTGATACAGAGGGAGTCAAAGCTGGGGTGCGCCAACAACGGCCGTGGGTCTAAGTGAACACACCACACCCATGCGTTTGCGTTTTGTCAAAACTGAAATATTTGCCTACTCACCCTGTACGGAAAATATCCGCCAGCCCCTGAGTAAGAAGAGGGCTGAGGCCCAGGGTTCTGTGCTGGGTGGGTAGAGCTGGGGGGTGCAGTGGTGTGAGTGGGAGTGTGAACTGGGGCACAAGCATGCGCTTTGATCACTTCAAAGTTTTACACCCTTGGCTGTGCCAGCGGCCACACGGGTGCTCCTGAACCAGACAGCGAGCTTCAGCCCTGCGTCCTCAGCTGAGGAGGGGGCGGAGACATCTCCCCCCTGGGAGGGGTCCTGAGATTTAATGAGTACAACGAATGAAACAGTACAGGAAGCACTAAAAAGAAGTCAGTGTCGTTGTAGTAATTTTACTGGATCTAATCCATCCCACAATCTTGAAAAGCACATGTTGTTCTCATCCTAGTTCTGAGGAAGCTGCGTCTCCAAGAGCCCGTGTGCCTTGTCTGAGGCTACCCCGCTCCGAAGACAAGGTTTAGGTCTTTCCGGGACAGAACCCCATACTTTCCCTTGTTCCTGTTAAGCCATTTTTAAGTTATAAAGGTAATACAGCACATTGTGAAATTTCCAACAACACAGGAAGATGGGAAATGAAAAGCAAAAGCACCCTCACCCTGAGTCCTGCCCTCCCCCCACCCCAGGAAGCAGCTCCTTAGCTGTTTGCGGGCTTCTCCGGGGCCGAGCCGGGCTGCACAGGGGCCTCGCCTGTTCCCACAGCAGCCCTGGGAGCTGGGCAGGGCTGGACCGAATGAGCTAACGCCCGTGTGAAAGCCCTTGACCATGGGAAGCACACATTGTTCACTATGATCACGCTACTCCCTGCGGGGCCCACAGAGGTTAAGGCCTCACCGTAGGCCAAAGGCCAGCACCGAGCCAAGAGGTCTCGGAGGCCACCGTGCCCAGTGTCAGCTACGCCCCTGGTAACAGTGCTCTGACTTTTGCTTGAACACTTTCAGTGACAGCAAGCTCATTACCGAATGAGGCTGGCCCTTCCCCCGTGGGCAGCTTTGCCTGTTAAAGAGTTCGTCATACTGACCCCAAATCTGCTTCGCAGTAACTTCCCGGGCCCAGAGTCGTGGCTGTGAGTAAGAGCGGGAATATGGGCTGGACCCCAAGTCCCTGTGCTCTGGGCCAGTGCGCCTTTCCTTACAGGGCCCAGCCTGTCTGTCAGGCACGGGCCGCCCTCTCCCAGCCTCACTCGGTCTGAGAGGAGGTGGGCAGAGACCCTCTTAGTAGGACTGGCAGGGCTGGGCACGTGGTCAGCTGGTGAACATTCGGGGAGCCCTGGATAAATGTCCTGCAGGAATGTCTTGGGCCACTCTCCCCAATGGCCAACCCCTCCAAGACTCAGTGAGGGCGCCACCTCCCCTCAGAAGCCACCCTGAGCCCCAGTGGAGTGGATGCTCCTATCTTGCAATTCCATAATGGCCCGTCTGGATCTGTTGCTGCTGAATACACATCATGACAGCACAGTGACATGCTGTCAGGGACAGTGAGATCCTAGATGACATTTACTGAATGCTTACTGTATGCCAGGCAGTGCTGAGTGCTTTACACGCATGAGCTCGTGTGATCCCACGATAATCCCACAGGGGTAGGTACCGTTATAATTATTATAAATGAAAAAAGCCAAGGGCCAGAGAGACACTGCATCCTCTGTCCCAAATCCCACGGCTCTGAGGGGCAAAGCCGGGGTTCCCACCTGCGTTTTCCACACTGCATTCCCTTCAGGAGGCAGCCCCCATCTCTCTGCGTTGATTCCCAGTCTGTCACAGCGCACAGTGAGTGCCAGGAAAGTTAGGAGAGTAAAGGAAAGAATGAGAAAGGCTCTCCTCGCCTACCCCAGCGCAGGAAACGCACCCAGTCCACACTCCACCCCCCACGCCCGCCCCCAGGGGAATGCCTTTCTCTTCTCCCACCTACAAGCAACTGGAAGTTTGAGAAGCACGGAGCAGCAGCCAGCGACAGCTGCAGCCCACACAGCCCGCCGGGTGGGGGCCAGTTCGTCCATCTGATCGCTGCCCCTGGGGCAGGCAGGGTGGGCTCTGCGGGGCGGGCCGCTGCGCGGGGGGGCGGGGCGGAGTGGGCTCAAGGCCGCTCGCCCGTCCAGGACGGCTACATCGACTTCATGGAGTACGTGGCGGCGCTCAGCCTGGTCCTCAAGGGGAAGGTGGAACAGAAGTTGCGCTGGTACTTCAAGCTCTACGACGTGGACGGCAACGGATGCATTGACCGCGACGAGCTGCTCACCATCATCCAGGTAACTCCAGGTGCAGAGGGCCGGGCCGGGGCAGTGGCTGGTGGACCTGGAGCTGGGCAGGGAGCCAGCCGCGCTGGCGCTGGGTCTTCAGCAGGCAGAGTTGTATTCTCAGAAGCGGGCAGGGTGGGATCGAGGGTCCTGGTGGCAGCTCTGGCCCTCACCAGATGTGTGACCTGAGCCACTCTCCTTCCCCTCTCTGGGCCTTAGTTTCCTTGTGTGCACCAAGAGACTGTAGAAGCTCGTAAGTCCCAGCTCTGTTGCTACTGCCCACTCTGCTGCTTGGCACCCTCAGCTCCACTCCCAGCTGTTGTGGGAGCCAGGGGCTCTCACGGCCTGCCCCCCCCCCCCCCCACGGAGACTGAGTTAGTCTTGGAGGCCCCTCTCACCTCGTCTTCCCTCCAGGCCATCCGAGCCATCAACCCCTGCAGCGACTCCGCCATGAGTGCAGAGGAGTTCACCGATACTGTGTTCTCCAAGATCGATGTCAACGGGGATGGTGAGCGGGCTGGGTGGGGCCGCCCGGGGAGGGGCGTCACCAGGGGGTAGGGGCCCAGCCCCAGACCTGGAGTTTAGAGATTCCTGGACCAGACTTTGGTCTCGGGCTCCTTGGCCTGTCCCCCTCACAGCCACCTCCCCCAGCATTGGCCGTGTCCCTGTCACGAGACTCCAGCTCTGGGCCTGGCCTGACACAGTGCTGCCAGGAGACAGGGACACCCCCTCCCCGAGCACCCCCCTCCCCGTGACCCCCTTTCTCTCCACTAGGGGAGCTGTCCCTGGAGGAGTTCATGGAGGGCGTCCAGAAGGACCAGATGCTCCTGGACACGCTGACAAGAAGCCTGGACCTCACCAGCATTGTGCGCCGGCTGCAGAACGGAGAACAGGACCAGGAGGGGGCTGGCGGTGGGGCGGCTGAGGCCGCCGGCTGAGCCACCGCCGGGAAGCTTCCGTGCTGGGGAGCGGGCGTGCGGTGGTGCTGGCTGTTATACTAGATAGCGTCTACTGCACTCAGAGGCCCAGGCCGCCTCTCCGGGCTGCGAGGCGGTGGCACAGGAGCAGTGGTGGGAGTCCAGAGGTGGGGACGGTGAAGCTGCTTCTGAATCTCAGTGTGACTCAGCTGGTGGTGACTGCTTCCTGCCAGCAGCAGCCCCTCAACACCCCTGCGCCCTCGGGCTTCTCCTGGCCCCTCTGGAGGCTCCCCCAGCCCCACCCTCTTCTAGAGGTGGAAGCTCTGAGGCAGAGCTGAGCTTTCCTGGGACTCTGATGGAACCCCCCAAGTCTCCGTCCTGGTGCCTCAAGGAGCCCAGGACCTGCGGCCTGCCTGTATGGTTTGCACTGATTCCTCCCTCATTCATTGAACAAGCATTTATCTAACGCCTACTATGTACTAACGCCAGATGTTAGATGTGCAGAGGAAAGGACCCTTCTCATCATCAGTGAACTGCCAGGCTAAACGTCATTATAATAAAACATGCTAAGGGAAGCCGTGAGATTCCTGCAGAAGCACGGGGAACGTGAGTGAAGGTGACTCAGGGGCAGCCTCACAGAGGCGACCCTGGACTCGGACCATGACAGAGGAGTTGGAGGGTGCGTGTGGAGAAGATGGTGTGTGCGGTGCACGCTGGGTGATGTGTGGGGGTTGTGTGGGGGCTGTGGGATGTGGGAAGGAGTTTTCTTAGGTGTAAATTGGGGGTATCTCTCAGGATTCACAGGTTACCAGTAAGGGGTCATCGAACCCATTTTTAGGGAACACCTCCAAGAGCCTCAGTAATAGGAGAAAAAAACCCAGCAAATTCCTCCGAGAAGCTACAGGGTCTCGAAGGAGAAGAGGACGGAATGTTTAGATAACCATACAGATCAGAATCGCGACGGATGACCGGCCACGGTGTGCGCGCACTCACACACTCTGGGGAGGCGTGCTGGAGTCAGACACCGGCCAAAAGGCCACAGACAGTCCTTGTTCGTCCAGAGGAAATCCGTGTTCTTTCAGAAGTGACTGCACCACCCCTCACACTCCCCCTGCTGGCTACCGGGTGGCCTCTGGTGCCTGCCCCATAGTTCCCTACGACTCTGAGAGTCCCTGCGGGTGACCTGACCCTCCCTGGTCTCACCTAAGTCTCTCTGGCTGCAGTGACACCTGACGTCATTTGGGAAGTGGGGCAGTCTGTTACAGGTGGGCCCTCATTCTTTGCACACCCCAACTTTAGAAATACCTGTCCAAGAACCTGGGGAGAGACAGGCTGAAGCAGCTGTACCCGATTTTTCAAGCCGCTCTTTCTTCTGGGCTTTAAGTCTTTAGTGTGGGAAGTTAGTAAAAATCCAGGGCAGGAGGGAGAAAAAGGGGGCGAACCCTCTGTTTGCAGAGAGCCCCGAGGGGTGAGAGGAGTGTTTGGCTCGTACCCGTCCCGTCCGGCCCTTGGACCAGCTGCCTGGGAAGCCAGCCAGGCTGAGCGCAGGCACGGAGGGCCGGTGCAGGTCAGTGCCGGGCAGCCTGGGAACACGGAGCTGACACTCCTGCCCCTTTCCTGGCGGCCGCCCCTCGGGAAATCCTGAAGGTCAGGGTTGGGGGTATCTGGAGGGAACGGCGACGTTTTCCCAGAGTCACTCACACACCACCTTCATGATTTGGGGCGTGTCTATGTTCCACCTGGACCGCTGTTTTTTAGTCAACCATTTTTACCTAAAATTCACTTCTAAAGGAAGCTTTGTATGAACATCATACCTAAGAAATCACAGGCCCAACAGATTAGTTTTATTTTTCATACATCAACATAAAGACATACCTATTCGAGGTAAAGCAAGCATTTTCCCGAGTCCAGGAGTGACACTGGCCCAGGGCCGGGTTCTGGGAGGAACCTCTGGCCCCAGTGGCGGGAGGGTCTGAGGGCTCAGGCCCCTCTTCAACCAAGCAGCTCCCCTTTAATCCAGTGTCTACACTGGGGGTGCGCACAGAGTTTGTGTAACAAAAATAATTCCACAACTGAAAAAATAATCATCTGGAAACTGCTGGTCCAGCCCAGCCCAGCCCAGCCCACTAACTGTGGTCAGCAAGAAAAGTGACCATCTTGGGTCTCGTACCTGTTGGAGGCAGAGCCTGGCCTAGAACCCAGGTCCTCAGGCCCAGTTCTCCCCTGAGAAAGCGGGACAGTTTCTCCATTCGCTAAGGAGACATATTTAGTCTGTGGCTGGGATTGTGGCAGGGCCATGCTGGCGAGGGCATCGGAGAGGCAAGTGGGAGAGGCAAGGGCAGGATGAGGGCCAGGGGCGGGGGGCGGGGGGTGGAGGGCGGGGGAGCAGCGGCAGCGCAGAGCCGGGGCGGCCCCCCTGAGGGCAGCTGGGCCCTCCAAGGGCAGGAGACCCCGGCCTGACTGGCTGCAGTTTTCCCCCTCGGCTCCTCAGGTGGGGACAACTTGGGGGAGGAGGCAAGCCACCCCCCACGAGCACTCCTCAGGACCCTGGCGGGGGGGCATTACATCCCCCCGCCCTGCCAGCTGCTGCCTGTTCCAACTCAGCACCTGCCAGTCCCTGCCTCCTACCAGTCTGTTTCCCACAGTACGGGGCACTGTCATTTTCAATTTGGCCTACGGGACCCTGCCTCTCAGTTTGCCCCTGCTTCCAGCTGAGAACCATGCAGGAATTTGTGGGGGCCCCACAACTACCCAGCCCAGGCAGAGGTGCCCCAGGGGCAGCTCGAGGGAGTGAGTAGGCCACTCCCCTCACCAGCCCAGTAAACTCTTTCAACTGACTGTGCCCAGTTGGTGGCTTCGGACCAACGGCCCCTCCCTCCCCAGTCCCTTTCCCTCCCCGGCCTGCCAGGATGAGTGGGCATCAGGGGGCTGAACCAGCGGCCCTCCCACCACTCGGGAGACCTGTGAGCCTGGAGTGTTGGAGGGGCCTGTGGACTCCTGCAGGTTCCCCAGGGCCCCGGACACTCAGAACATGGCACTTCTCCGCCTCTGCTGAGAGATCCAGCCGCTGGGATTCACATCCATCTGCAGCATCTTCATCACCCACTTGTCACGACGGGCGCCTTCGATGAACTCACTCAGAGACAGCTGGCCTGAGCAGGGTGGGAGAGAGGGTCTTGTGGAAGAACGGAGACAAGGGGTCGGGGCAAGAGCAGAGGCCTCCCCTCCCAGGGTGCGCCTGCAGCTCCCGCACGAAGGAGCCCGCAGACGCAGGGCCTAAGCCTGGGGCCCGCTGATTCTCCAGGAATCTCCTGGAACCTGCAAGGGCTTCCGCAAGGGACTTTCTTCGCAAATGAACTGAAGTTTTACTTTTGTCCCCAGTGCCCTCAAAATGTTCTCGAGGGTTCTTCTGCGTGTGCTCCCAACCAGCTCCCTCCCTGCGCAGCCCTGGGGCTTAATCACCCTACTCAGTCCTCTCAGCCATCGTCATCCCCATTTCCAGATGAGGACACTGAGGCCAGGGTGACAGGTTGGCGTGTCATCCTGTCTGCCTGACCCCAAAACTCCCGCTGCTTGCTTGCTCGCCTGGCCTCCACCAGCAACTCCAGTAGGAGCTCTAATCACTCTTACAAATGTCATGCACTGGTGACACCCTTTGTCATTTCCCAGATGAAGACGCTGGTGGTTGAGGGGGTGGAGGGCTCTCCCCAGGTCACAGGGCCAGGCAGAGGGGCTGCCGTGGAGTGGGCCGCGGTCTCCCCTGGTTACCGTCTCCGTTCTCATCCACCAGAAGGAAGATCCGGTCCACGACCTCCTCGGGCGTGAGCAGCTGGCCCTGCTGCCCGGCCTCCATCTCCACCCTGCAGGCTTTCTTCAGCTTGTAAATTGACTGCGGAGGAAACCCCAGGGACGTTGAGGGGACTCTGCAAACTCCGCCCCCCCCAACCCATGCTCCTCAGCACCATTTCCCCCAGCGCTGCCCCCCAGGCTGTGCATCTGAGGACCACGGGACCCAACCCAAACAAAACTGATGTGTCCCAGGGTCCCACTGGCCTGGTTGCAGCTGAGGAGCTCCTGAGCTCTCGAGCTGCCCCACCCCACAGCCACCAAAGCCAAAACCCTAACCTGATGATGCGGGTCGTATATGGCACTGGGATGGTCTCAATGCTGCTTTACAGAGGAAAAATGGAGATCCAGAGAGGAAAAGAGAATGTGGTGTGTTTATGGATGTGTGTCTATGTGTATGAAATAGGATGATGGGAGATACAGGTGTTTAAACTGGAGGGGAAAGAACAGGCTTCTCCTTTGCACTGTTTCTTTCCCAGTGAGGCAATGCTTGTGAGGTGAGATGGAAGAGAGATGGACCAACAAGGGGATTACCCTTGGCTCTTGGGCTGGGCGCTCTCTGAGGGCACGTGTGTGGCCAATCCCCAGGGCCTTGCCGCCCAGCACGGTGCTGTCTGGGAGCCGTGGGTGTCACAGCCAGCTCCAGCACCTCCCGGGTGGATGCATGTGGGCACACAGAGAACCTCTGAGGGGCAATTTCCTTGTCTGTAAAATGGGCTGGCAGGTCCATCGGCAACTCGGGGTGGAGTTGACACCGACCCCACCTCCGAGTCTGCATCTAGTAGGTCCGAGTCTGCATCTAGTAGGTCCGAGTCTGCATCTAGTAGGTAGTGTTTTTCCTTGCTGATCATCCCCTCCCCGTGGTGGTTCGTCAGCTGTATTAGTCTTTCAAGAACCAACTTTAGGTTTTATTGACTTTTCCTTTGTAAATTTTTCCTCTGTCATTAATTTCTGCTCTTTACAGTATTTTCCCTTTCTCCTGCTTTCTTTGGTTTTAATTTACTCTTTTTTCCAATTTTTTTAAATATCTTTTTCTATTCTTTTTCAAAGATTTTATTTATTTATTTTTAGAGTTAGGGGAAGGGAAAAAGAAAGAGAGGGAGAGAAACATCAAGCGCCCCCTATTGGGCCTGCAACCCAGGCATGTGCTCTGACTGGGAATCGAACCAGTGACCCTTTGGTTCACAGGCTGGTGCTCAATCCACAGAGCCACACCAGCCCAAGCAGCTTCTTCCTAATTTCTTGAGGTGACTTCTTAGCTCATTGATTTTCAAACTCTTACTTTCTGATACATACATTTTAAGGCTCCATGTTTCCAAAGCCCAGCTTTGGCTGCATTCCACAAGTTTTGCTAGGTTATTTTTGCATCATTCTTCAGTTCACAACACTGTGTGTGTATGTCTGTGGTTTTGTCTTTGATAATTCATGGAGTGTTTGGAAGTGTACTGCCTGATTTCCAAACACATGGGGATTTTTCAGTTTTTTGTAATTTATCTCTGGCTTAATTCCACTGTGGTCAGAGAGCACACTTTCTGAATTGGATGATTTCGGTGCCTCTTCCTGAACTCCAGCCCCCGGGACCCACTTCAGTGGGCCACCCTCAGAGCCCAGGGTGTGCCCGCGTCCAGGTACCCAGCCCCACGGACAGACACTGACCTCTACAATGTCCAGCAGCTCCAGGCGGTCGATGCAGCCATTGCGGTCTTTGTCATAGATCTTGAAGGTCCACTTCAGCTTGTGCTCCAGGGTGCCCCTCAATACCAGGTTCAGGGCGGCCACGTACTCCAGGAAGTCGATGGTGTTGTCCTGCATCGGGAGTGGGGTCGGTGAGGCCCTGCTGGCCCCGCCTCCAGAGCACCAGCGTGCACTCTGTTCTGCGCCATCCACCACCACAAACGCAGGGCCCTGCCTCTTCCTCGCAATCTGTGTGGCTTCTGCACCTTTGCTCAGGCTGTTCTCCACTCTGGCATCCTTTCTCGGCCTCTATGATCACCTGATTCTACCAGTTCTTCAACGCTCAGCCCAATAATCCCCTCCTCCAGGAAGCCTTCCTTCTCAGACCACTCAGCCACAGTGACCTCTCCCTCTTCTAACATTCACAGCACCCACCACCTATTCTGTGCCATTTGGGTCTTACTCTGGCACTGTCACCTAACTGTCCTGAGAGTGTGTCTCATTCGCTAGCTACATCATCTGCTCTGGAGCAAAAAGAGGGGTTACATTGCCTTTGTTTCTCTTCCACACCTAGCACAGTGCCACTTCTGCCCTGTGGGTCTCATAAATATTGATGAATCAATGAATAAATAATCAACTTAACCTGAATTTGAGACCACGGTAGTTTTGAAAGATTAGGAAGCTGTGCTCACATTGAGTTTCTTTTGCCCTTTCCTTCACTCGGAGGCGGAGGGAAAATGGACAGGCGGTGCAGCCGTGCTCCCCTCCAGGTGCAGCTGGACATCGCACTGAAGGACAGGCCTGCTCCCCCGTCCCCACCCAGGAAGGGGCGGGGGGTGAGGGAGAGCTCAAGTGCTAACTGGCCAGAGGAAGAAGCAGGGTGCACAGGTCACTTCTGAAGTGCCTCTAACCAGGAAACTGAATTTGCTTTCTTTCCTTCAGCGGAAATGGGGCAGCAGCAATTACTCCAAAAGCAGTAAACCAGGAGTACGGAGAGAAGACGCTTTGACTCCAGAGGAGTCTGACGTAAGAGGCTGGGGCCCTGGCTGCCGTGGTTGGTCGGGCCAAAGTCTCCGTCTGAGCTCCACGGGATGAAGCTCACACCTGCCTCCTCACCTATTTCAGGGTGGGGACCTCAGCTCTGCAAATCAAAGACCTGACTCATCAGCTCCCCAGGAGCGCCTGTTATTCCAGTGACTTTGTAATAAGAAATGACATCGCTGGCCCACAGAACACCTTTGTCTCACTGGGTCAGGCCACTTGGAGCCCCGCCCCGGATAAGGGGAGCCAGGGCAAGCAAGGCTCAGGCGACAGGGGGACACGGCAGAAAATGAGGGGGACAGCAAGGACGCCCGCCGAAGCAGAAAATAAAACGAGCCTACCTGGACACTCGAAATGCTTTATTCTGTATTTTTAAATAATTCCTCTGTTCCTCCACCCCCACCACGTATTTACATAATTGAGATGAGACTAGCTATAGTTTCATTTCCTAGATTTTTATTTTAAAATGTCCCATGTCTTTAAAATACTTTAAAATCATATGTTTTATTTTTTTGAGGTGCACTGAGCAGTTCCTGTTTCTGAACATGGTTAATATTTTACATAACACATGAACATCCTTGTGAATACATACTTTTCTTACATCTGGTAATCAGGGGACAGATTCTTAGCAGTGGTCGTTCCCTTCCCCCCCCCCTGGGCTTCAGTGCATGGCTGCCGCAGGTGTATTGTTTACGACATCGTACCCCACGCGTAGGTGTGGGTAACTCTCAACACAAACTTGCTCGCTCCCACTTAATAGTCACATCCTTCTCCCGGCCGAGCCCTCTGGCAACCACTGTCCTGCTCCCCAAAACCACAATAGTGTCACATTGAGAATGGTATGGAATTAGAATCATATTCCATACCTTCAGGATTGGTGCTTTTTTTTTTTTAATGCAACATAACGCCCTGGAGATCATCCAAGTTGCTTCAGGCCACAAAAGTTCCTTCCCTCCTTTTTACTGCCGAGTAGGGTTCCCCTGCGCACATGGTCCCTGGTCTGTTCTCTACTCATTGAAGGTTATTTGACTTGTTTCCAATTTCCCCCCAGCTTTATAAAAATACAATTGAAAAATAGCCTTGTAAAGAACATAGTGTAAGTGTAAGGTGTATGATGTAATGACTGGTTGTTCTTTATAAGGCTATTTTTATTAGTGACCGTGCTTTATTAAGCTTACTAAAAACTGACCTTACATTTCTTTTGCAATGAGTTGAATAGGAAAATGTATGCAAATGTCTGGTAGGGACCATTTGTTTTACATACCTCATCTCCCTCCAGTCTGGGACCCTCATGTGGTGGGTGAGGAGTCTGAGACTCGGAAATGGAATAGGTTGCTAAGGCAGAGCCTTTCCTGATACATGTCTTTTCAGTTCGTCAAGTGGGGAGAGCCTTCTCACTCCATTCCAGCTTTGGTACTGTCTGGAAACTGAGCCTGGTGGCTAGCACCAAGGACAAAAACCGAAAAACTGAAACTACCAGTCAATCCCTATTCTCTAGATCTCTGGGTTCTCCTGCATTCTTCCTCTAGAACCTTCTCACAATACCATCTCTCTACGTGACAGGCTTTCCACAACAACCCTGTGGGCTGCAGAACAAGTCACCCTATGGTGCTCTGGTGGCAGACGGACTGTTGAACTGAAGGCAACTTGTAATTGCTGAGTGGTATCTACTGGGTTCAGAAGAAATGTCTGCTGCTCCCTTAACTACCTAGGAGAACTTGAATAAGGGGCCTTGTCCATGATAGATTATCAGAGACAACCTCTGTTTAGCTATCTGTATATATTGCAGGACAAATTTCGACTTCCTGAACATCACTCTCCTTACCACCCTGCAATGACCCTTTGAAGGCATCTTAGCTGATCCCCAGCTCAGACGTCTTACATTCCCACATTTCCTGTCTGTCTCCGAATCTCTCCTGCATATGGGGTCTCCGACTCTCTCATATGCGAGGTTCCCATACATAGGTATGTGTTAAATTTACTTATTTCCTTTTGCTACTCTGTCTCATATCTATTTGATTAGACCAGCTGAAAGAAACTTGAGGGCAGAGGAAATTTCTTCCCACAACCCCTTGCTCCGCAAGAGGCATGTTCTGGAGTAGCCACTTCCAGACGAACGATCCCCCCAGGAGGTTACTGCAAACCCAGGACCACTTCCGGGAGGCTTCCAGCTGGGACTAAGCTCATCTGCTGAGCACCGGCCCTCATCAGCCTTCATTAGCCACGGAAGCCCAAGATGATGGAGAGACACCGCTGTCCAGTCAAGAGGTAGAAGCAGGAAGTGGCAGGCATGTGTGATCTGCTCCTTTCTACCTGAACTTGTGCACCAGCGCTGACCTCAATGCATGTTATGTAAGGATCCCAAATGACATTTGAGCTTCATTCCTTTTCTTCCATTCTGGTGTGTCACAGGGCAACAGGCAGAGAAGACAGGTGTGTCACTGGGGAGGAACCCCGAGGGCGGTGCCCCTCCCTCCTCATCTCCACCAAATTCCTCTGTCACCCAGATTTTGACATGTGAGCTAGATCTATGAGCTCCTTTCATTTTATTTGCACCAGAAATCTCAGACCAATCACCCAGAAGTGAGACTTGCTGATAAAAAGATTGTGCCAAGGTGGGAAGTGGAGCTGGGTGTGTCCTCGGAGACTAAGCAGGAACGTAAAGAAAGAAGGCCAGTCCCTGACAGAGGAACTTCACACACCTGCCAGGAAAGCCTTTCCTTGCAGTGGAACGCAACTGGTGTATCAAGACACCGGTTAGAAATCAACACTGGAATGCAAACATAGCAGATGAAATTTTGATGAGCGACAGGATCAGGATACTTTGTTTCAAAGTACCCCGTAAAATGCTTATTGATGACAGAGGAAAAACAGTACCTTGCAGTGGAGAAACTCAGGAGACACTGAGTAACCGAGTGATGAAGTTAACAATCTCAGTAATGGAACAGATCAACGTCACATGTCCCTTGACATCATGCACTGAGAAGGACAAATGTTACTTCTGTGGCATTTCTGCCAGAACTATAAAGCCCAAGCAATACTGCACAAACCCAGACAATTGGCCTGCAATCTTCAAAACTATCAGGGTCAAATAAGAGAAAGGAAAGCTAAGATTAGAGGCTCCAAATTAGCCCTGGTTGGGTAGCTCAGTTGGTTAGTGTTGTTCCAATATGCCAAGGTTGTGGGTTCAATCCCCAGTCAGGGCACTTACAAGAACCAATGGATACAGAAATAAGTAGAGCAACAAACTGATGTTTCTCTCTTTCTTCCTCTTTCCTTTCTCTTCTTCTCTTTCTCAAAAAAATTAATAAAAATATTTTTAGAAAAAGTTTTCAAATTTAAAGGTGACAGGACAAGTAAACACAATGAGTGATTAGACCCCCCCCCAAAAAAAGCATCAATGTTAGATTTCCTGATTTTGATAACTGCATTAGATTATTTAAAAGAATGGCCTTGTTCCTCAGAGAAGCAGACTGAAAAGCTTAGAGATGAAAAGGCTCTAAGAGAGAGTGATGTCTCCGACTTTCTCTTAAAAATACACGTGTATTTATATACAGAAAGAATAATATAGCAAATGAGGCAAAATGGAAACAATTGTCTAAAGTATAGATGGGAATTACTTGTACTATTCTTGCGACTTGTGTAAATTTGAAATCCTATCAAATAAAAGATAAAGAGAAAAAAGCAACTTATGAATATATATGCTAACTTGTAAGGTAGAATGGGGCATAAGGGGTCCAACTATATTATGCCCAGAGCTAAATAATGTCTTTTGGTTCTTTAAAGTTTTTTATTTATTAATTTGTAGAGAGAGAGTTTGTGTTCCACCCATTCATACATTTCCTTGTATGTGCCCTGACTGGGGATCGAACCTGCGACCTTGGTGTGTCGGGACAGTGCTCCACCACATGAGTTGCCTGGCAAGGGCTCTTTTGGTTCTTGAATTGTTATATTGAATTTTTAGATAAGTATGCATAACATTGTTATATGTATGATAGTAAGTTTTGTGATACATGACCTACATTTAAAAAAATCACTTCCTCTCTTTTAAAAAACTACCTGCCTCCTAGGCCGGTGCACCTGCCTGGGAGTCTGCACCCCGGAGTGTGTGATCTGGGGCAAACAAATCCACTCCTCTCGCCGTGGCCCTCCCAACATTTAATCTGAAACAACAAACTGCCCCCCCCCCCCCGACTGCTACTGACTCGGAAACTGGGGCCAGGAGGGGCTTTGGGAAGTCTGCTCACTCTGTGCCCTGAGCGGGTCACAGGGCTCACCTCCAAGGAGGCTCACGCTGCCCCGAAGCTGCCGCCGCCCTCCCTCCCCCGACAGGCGCGGAGACGGGCCGCCCGGCACCGGGACCATGGCAGACCTGAACAGCCACCCTGTGGGTCAGCCTAGAAAGTCAAGTTCTCCACGCACAGAGACGAGGGGCACCGGGACTTCCTTAAGCTAACTTTCCAGGCACCTGCCCCCATCAATTTCGAAAGCCGAAATCAGTATTTGAGGCAACCTGAACGGTTTAAAGGATTGCAGAGGTGCTGGACTGGATGACCTGAAATAACGAAGGACTTTCAATTTTTTAAATCTTTACTGGAGGACACTTTGTCATTACTTTTAGAGAGACAGGAAGGGAGAGAGAGAGAGAGAGAGACATCAGTGTGAGAGAGAGAAACATCTATTGATCGCCTGCTTGTATATGCTCCGACCAGGATCGAACTCACAACCTGGGTATGTGCCCTGACCGGGAATCAAACCCGTGACTTTGGCCTATGGGACAATGATTCAACCTACTGAACCACACTGTCCAGGGCAGGAGTTTCAATTTTTAAATTCTGTTTCTGGCCGGTGTGCATTTACACAACTTAGCTTCCCAGCAGCTGGTGTCAATGGAAGGTTTAAAGAAACCCTGTGGCTGAATGAGATCATGAATCTCCCAAGACTTGAAGAGTTGCAGGGACCTTTACAATAATCCATCCGATCTCCCAGTCTGTGAAGGAACCTTCTCCAGCATTCCTGGTGGGGAGGACCTGAGCAGTCTCAATTTGAAGGACCCCAATGAGGGGGGGCTCACGGTCTAGGCCAAGAAGGCTCATCCCATTTTGTCAGCTCTTTTGCCCCTTATCTTTAGAGTGACAGGAGCTCTGGAGGAGGGTGAAAAACCAGGTCCCTGGTCTGAAAAGCCTTGGCCAAAAATACAGAGAGGAATGGACTGTGTGCCCTTCTGCCCGACCTACCTGTGGTGCTCAGGAAGTGAAGGGAGGGAGAGCAGATGGAAGTGGAGAGGTGGGGAGGAGGGAAGGGACGAGGGGAAGGGGCAGGTCACGGGAGAGAGGAGTTTGAAGAGACGGACAGGAAAGATGAGAGCGTAGTGGGGAGAACAGAAGAGCAGGAGAACTGGGGACTGGGAGCACCGCCCCCCCGCCCCACCCCGAGGATGCTCCTTCAGCTCAAGGTTGAGAAACGTGCCAAGTGGCCTGGCCACCAGTCCTCCCCTTCAGGGTCCCTTACCCCATTCGTGTCGAAAGCTCGAAACATGCCTTCTACATACTGGGTGGCCTCCTCATTGCCTGTGACCTTGAAGAAGCGCTTGAACTCATGCATGAAGAGTGTGCCGCTGGGGCACTCCACCACGAACTTCTTGTACCACTCCTGGAGCTCCGCCACATCGATCTCGCCCGCCGCCTCTGCCTCCTCCCAGCTGAACTGCTGCCCCATCCTGGCCCCCAGGAACGCCAGAGAGCAAGGGTCTGCGTCTCCTCCTGGGCCTCTGCTGACTGATTCCTTAGGCTAGTGTGCTCTTCCTCCCTTTCCTTAGCTCAGCCAGCCTCTTCATCATCTCTTGGGCAACAGAATGTGACGGGCAGTGTAGGAGGCTGGCGACAAGGTGGGCAGGACCAGGCCGGCTAAGCACCCTAAGATCATTAGAAGATTCCCCCGGAAGGCCTGACCTCCAGCCTGCTAAGCTCCCCCAGCCTCACCCCTCCCCTTCATCTTCTCAACCACTCAACTAAGCCACACAGAAGATTCCGAGGAGTGAGAAGGGGAGGAAACGGAGGGGAGGGTAGACTAGAGATGAGTTGGGAAGATAAGCTGAGACCCTCCCATGTCATAAATGAGCACCACACTGCTCTGGAGAGGACCGTCTTGGAGACACAGGAGACTCTGACGTCCATAGAGGGAGCGCGGCCAACTCCTAGGCCTTAAAATAAAAGCTGCCCGGGATCTGGGCTCAGCTCCTCCACACGGAATCTCTGTGAAGGGTTCCAGGGGAGCAGCTCTGTCCCCAGGCTAACTCAGCCCCCAGCGCAGTATCCTTAGCTCCATTATAAATCACACCCCTAAGTCTCGGAAGTTTCCCATTTTCCAATTTAAAGTACAAATGCTTCCCTCCAACGCCCTTCACCCAAGACCTGGAGGCTCTTCCTACTTTCTCTCCACATGAGGGAGCATAGCTTAGAATATCTCAGAAGTCTCTTATTTTTATATTAAATGTTCATGCCAATTTGTTTTTGAATCAATTACATATTTATGCTTCTTTTAATGTAATACAAAAATGACACCAGAAAACCTGGAGCGCTGGTTCTTCCAGATTTCAGAGGTGGTCATGCCAGTGAGAGTCCGTCCCTGGGGCCGCACTGCCTGTGCCGCATGGAGTGTTGGTGCCCAACTGTTGGTGCGGAGGCTGATCCGCTCTCGGGGCTCTCTGCCCTGACCTCTTAGAGTCGCTGTCACTTCCTCACTGTTCCCGAAGTAGGAACCCCCTTCCTCTGTCATCCTTTCAAGTGCTGGTGGACTTTTCTCCCACATCCCACAGCCCCCAGGGTGTGGAGGATAAGGCTAGTGTCCTCCTTCCTCTTAATTGTTGCTTCCGCCTTTTCTCTTTTCTCCCTCAAAAATGCCAGTCCCTTCAAAGCCATGTCCAAATTGACCCCTCCTTGTACTCATCCTTGTTGCCATTACTGACCAGTGACTTTACCATGTGTCTCAAAGCATCATCTTAGAGACACCCACACCCAGGTGGAGACCTGACCCATCCTGCACTCTGGCCTCAAAGGTCCTTGATCTCCCCAGTTCCAAAGGTTTTTCCTCCCATCCCACACGGGCCTCCATGGGCCCTGGGCCGGCAGCTGCAGCCTCTGGGATCTTGTTAGAAATGCAAATTCTCTGGCCCCTCCCCTCCTACTGAATCAGAAATTTGGAGGGTTATAGAGAATCAGTCTGTGTGGCAATGGTGAATGTAGCTCAGCTCTGGTTCAGAAAACTGACAGGCTGAGGCAGTGCACAGGAGCCAGGCCCACAGATCGGCTTTCCCATGGGGGACCAGGCCTGCATTGTACCTAGGCTGCTTTGAGGCTTGCTTTTGCTAAGAATCCCTCACCCTGAGTTAAGGCAGAGAATGTTTAATGCATATCTTTGAAGTAACTTCCTCAAGTCTGTGCTAAACCATTCCAAGGACAGAGTGTAACTAGATCTATCACTTTTATCATTCCCTTGCATTTGCAACATTCTTTTCTTTGTTATCTGTAAGAAATAATCACCTAAAGCAAACCTGTGCGTAGTAAATGAGGACCATCCTCGATGTAACATGCCAAGAAAAGCAATAAAAGCCTGTCCAGAGAAGGGTTGGGGCGCTCTCTCACTCAGAGTGTGGCCACACTGTCCCTTTTCTCTACAGGACTTCTGTAGTCCGTGTGAATTTGTTTGCCGCATCCACAACACATGGACCCTGCAGGCCAGAGTCGGCACCAGAGGGTGGGCCCAGCAGCGTGTGCTTTCGCAGCCCTCTGGGCCCTTCCCTTGCGCACAGTCTGAGAACCTGCCCTGGGCTCCGCTGTGGGCATTTCTGTACTCCCTCTGAAACATTTCAAGCTCACCACCTCTCCTTCCAGCTGTTATGCTGACATCTGCACTCCAGTTAGTCACCAGCCTTACTGAGACTTGCAACCTGTGGATCTCCTAACAAAACATGTGCCACCTCAATTACATCTCCACTGTCCTCCTTATCCACGGCCCAGCACTCTTGCCATTTCCTTGCTGTGACCCTGACTTTTGCACCCCTGTCCCTTTAACTACTCACTTGGAAAAACCTGACCCTGGCTGAACCTAACCACTATGGGCTAACACCTCACTTGCACCCAGGAGGCTGAACACAGTAAGAGAAAATCATAAAATCACACTGGTGGCACACATGTCACATAACTACTCCTTCCCCATCGACTTCACTGTCCCCGCCCTGAGATGACCACTCCACGGCCCTTCCGACCTCAGACCTTCCCCTCACCCCGCGCTCAGCTGATGACCTTGTCACGGCTTCACTTCAGGGAAATAGACACACCACACGACCACCTTGTCTTCCCACCAGACACTTCTCTGCATCTGTGCCTCGTGTCTGCCTCTTCCTGGTCCAGCCAAAGTGGTGTCCCTTCCCCACTTCTCACCTGTCAGGTCCTCCCCTTGTTTTCTAGGGCTCGGCTCTCTGCCCACTCAGGTACTTGCTTTCCACAGCGATTCTTTTCTCTTCCGAATCCCATTTTTCCTTCGATAATGGGTCATTCCCCTCTGAAGACATGCTTTAATACCACCTTTATTAAAGCAAAGTAAAACAACAAAAATCCTGCCTTGACCCCACATTCAGGGTCCCCATTACCACGTGCATGGGCCTACACTCTTTACCTTCATAGGTCATAAGATAAATATGGAAAAATAAATACTACAAAATATTTAAAATATTTTAGCATTCATTGGTATAAAAATGAATAGAATCCAGTTAGTCCAGACTGAACTAAACCTACTGCTCCGATTTTGAAAGGTATTAAAATACTTAAAAGAAATTAGAGCTCGTGGGGGCCTTAGGCCCTCTGGGTCCCCAGACCCCTGGCCCTGCCGCGTCACCTCCACCCGCTGTCCTCACTTTGGTTTCTCTTACAACAAACCCTCTGTGGCAGGTGTAGCTTCCAAAAACAGCACAGCGATGGGCCTGGTCTCGTGCGTCCCTCTCGTCAAGGTGGGGGGTCTGTTTCTCCTTCTCTTCGACCTGGATGGGACCTTGCAGCTATGTCACTGAGGAGGACAGGCAGGAGCGCCATCGTGCACCTTCCAAGGCTGGGTCGTCGAGGCGACAGGGTTTCTGCTGGCTCTCTCAGGACCTGCCCCGGGCACCCAGACGCCACGTTGTGAGGAAGCCCGGGTGCACGTACAGGTTCTGGATGACAGCCAGCCCCAACCATCGGACACGTGGGGGAGTGACTCAGGCCCCGGCCTTCCAGCCACCCCAAGTGATACCAAATGGAGCAGCCAATGTCCCCACAGGGCCCTGACCAAATTGCAGATAGTGTGCAAAGCAAATGTCTCCATTTTAAGCCATGAAATCTCAGGTGTTTTTTTAAGGTAGAAATAAATAACTGAGCTCTCTCAAACCTATTGTGTCCTCACCTTTCTTCCCCATTCTCTCCTTAATTTACTCCAACTGGATGCTCACTCCATAAAAAGGCTTGCACAGCCGTCATCCATGACCTACTTTTCTTACTCAACTGGCCAGCGGTCCTCACAGTTCACCAATCGCATTCCGCCTCCAAATACTCCAGGCTTCAAGGACCCACACTCCTCTGATTTCACTCTAACCTCAATGACTGCTCATCTCCTTTGCTGGAACCTCCTCCATTTTACCAAATCTCTGCATGTTCAGGGGCTTCCCAGTCTTGTCCGTGGTACTCTTCTCTTATATACCTACATCATCCCTAGATGAACGTACTTAACTTCCAATATTACATAACATTTGTAAGCTGACAGCTTCCAAATTTACATCTTCAGCCTGGACCACTCTCCAGAACTCCAGATTCATGAACCCAGCTGCCTATTGGACATCGATACTCAGATCGCAAACTTAGTTAAGGCCAAGGCCAAAGCCTACGCCAAACTACTGATTTCCTTCCCAAATCCATTCTCAACCCTCTTCCACCTCAGTAATGGCACCACCATTTATCCAGTTTCGTAGGCCAAAAACTAGGAGTCATCCTTGAATCCTCTCTCTCAGACCTCATTTCAAGCCATTAGTAGATCAATCCATCAGCTCCATGTCCAAACTACACTCTGAATTCAACCACTTCTCATCACCTCCACTACTGCAGCCCTAGTCTGGGCCATATCCTCTCACCTGCCCCACCACAGGTCCCCACTGGTCTTCCTGCCCCCAGTTGCCATCCCCTCCTTACAGTCCACACCCAGGAGCCAGAGTAGCATGTTCTAAGGTACAAATCAGATCCTATCACTCTTCTGCTCCAAACTCTCCTATGACTTCCTGTTTACACTCAGGAATCCACACTCCTTCCCACAGCCATGATGCATTACATGATCCAGCCCCCCCCCCCGCTTTTTTTCTTTTTAATCTTCATCTGAGGGCATGTTTACTTATTTTTAGAGAGAAGAGAGGGAGAGAGGAACGTTGATGTGAGAAAGAAACACCCACTGGTTGCCTCTCCCACACCCCTGACTGGGGAGCTAACCCACAACCTAGGCACGTGCCCTGACCAGGAATCAAAACTGTGAACTTTTGATTTATGGGATGACACTTCAACCTACTGAGCCCCCTAGTCAGGGCCACCTGCTCTGTCTTCATGTTCCTCCGTCCTTGTGGACAGACATGCCGAGCTCACTGGGTCTTAGCACTGATTGGTCCTGCTGCTTGGATTGCTCTCCCCCAGGTCTGCACATGGCGCCTCCTTTTTGCCCTTCTCCCCTCCTCAGAGAGCACTTTCCCAATCCTGTCTTAAAAGCCACTCAATTAATTTTGACATGATCCTATTTTCTTCATCATGCTTAACTGCAGCTGAAACTACCTTACTTTTCCCCTATCGTCTTCCCCACAAAGTTTAAGATCCTTGAGGGGAGGGACTTCCCCACAGATGCACTGCAGAACTCCCAGTGCTTAGC